CCTTAAAATACTAGTAAATGATAACCATATTCTGAAAATGAAGATTCCCACATCACTTTAGGTGCCATTTTTTTTTGGCTGATGGCAGTATGTTTGTGATTAATTTATGCTTGTTCCTTATATAGAACGAATTTATTAGTTAGGGAGCAAAGGTATAAAATATGGAACAAAGGAAATAGTATATATAATATGAATGACAAGAACACATACTTGATACAAAAATTTCACCTTTTTCTCAGGAAATCCCTGCACATTTTACAAACGACACTGCCACCCCTTCATCCACCTGGAAGAAGGGACTTTCTCCAGTGTGAAAGGGCAGTATAGCCTCTCTGTATCTCAAAATCACCCCACTGACTGTTTAGGGCAAGAGGTGAAAAATACTTACCTTAAGCACTGGGGAAGATTGGAATAAGAAAGAATATAATTTTCATGGATATAGAATATGGAATGAGCAGAACTGGCTGGAGTTGACACCTCCCCTTTTATGAGAAGTACTATGAGGTCACTGATGACTGGAAGGGACAGGACCTTTGCTAATTCTCATCTGAAAGACGTCAAGCAGAGTATTTTCCCATGGTACTATTTTGACATTTGGAGTCAATCCTTCCTCCAAGTGAAAAAAAAGTCACTTGCATAAATGCAACTTCAGTAGCACCTTGACAGTCCCTGGAAGTCATCCAGCGGGATGCCAATTTAACGTGGTTAAGTCACCCTCTTAGACATATGTGGTGCCAGGTTGGTCCAATGTGCCTTTGTGGTGGGGTGCACTGCTCCATAGCTAAGTGCTAGCGAGAAGGCATGGGGCCGCTACATGTGGGAGATGCTCCCTCCCATCACAGAAGGGGCAGCATGGCCTAAAAACATGGCTTCTACGACAAACACATTCTGGCTTTATTCTCAACCTGTCACTTTGGAAGTTGAGTTACTTAACTTTTCTGAGTCTTAGTTTCTTCATCTATGAAATGGGATGATCATACCTTCCTCATACAGTTTTTGCAAGGATTAAATGAGATAGGGCTGTTTTAAGTACCTGATAATTATTCTGTGTTTATTTTATTTTTGCTTCATCTAACTCTCTCATCCTATCCCCCATTAACATCTAATCCCAAACTCTGGGTTTTCTTTTTTTTTTTTTTTTCAGGATTTTCCTTTGAAAATTGTGCATGATCACCAATGCTATTTTTTCCGCATGGATTTTGCACATCAGTAAGGGAATGAACATGAATTTATTTCTCAGTTTCCTTCACACTAATGTTCAGTTATCCAGAGGGTGTCATATCACCAAATGTCAGTAAAAATAATATATATATATATAGCATAATATGTAGTATGTAATATATAATGTATGATTTCATCTATCTATCATCTGGCTTTTTAATGATAGCAATTTTGCCAGCTTCATTTTTTAACTGCATGTTCCAAATGTCCAAAATACCAGTTTTTGCTTCCCCTTCTGAAGAAATCTTTTCTCCACATGATTACGAAAATTTTAAGGATATTTTACAGAAGGACCATTTCCCCCACCACCACCACGCACCGCAAATCATACTCCTTTCTATGTGCTATTCTACAGAATAAGAATTCCCAGGGACTACTTTTGAAACTCACATGTGTAGATGAATCTTATGAAACATGTTAGTCTTCCTCTAGAAAGATATCTTCACCTATGGTGATATTCTTCAGATAATATTTATAATATAGGAAGCATTTACATAAAATGACATCTGGAAAACTGGATTCCCCATTCTTCTCTGAGAGGAGGCTGTTATAAGACCACATCAAAGTGGTCACACATGGCCTCAGGGGCCACTGCAAAGCCTTGGCTTTTTCTCTGAGGGAAATGGGAAGCCATTGCTGGGTTTTGAGCACATGAGAGACCTGATCTGACTTAGTTGTGGTGATAGCCTTTGGTTGCTATATTTAAATTGACTGTGGTTGAGCAAAGGCAGAAAAGCAAGAAGAACAGTTGAGAAAAAGATGGTGGTGATTTGGACCAAAAGGGTAGCAGGAGAGATGGTTACATCTCCAGATTCTGGTCAGATTTTGAAAGTCAAGCCAAAAAGCTGTCCCAATAGGTTGGATGTGTAGTGTGAGACAAAGAAAGCAGTCAAGGATGACTATAAGGTTTTTGGCCTGAGCAAATGCATAAATGGCGTTGCTGTAAGCCCAGAGAGGGAAGGGTGTTAGAAAAGCTGGTTTGGGATAGTAGATGAAGGCTTTAGTTTGAGACATGTTAAGCCTGAGCTGTCTATTAGACATCCAAGTTGAGATAGCAAACAGGCAATTAGATATGTAATTCTGAACTTTAGGAGAGGTCTGGTCTGGTGATAGAAGACCCTTAAGATGTGCCTTTTGATATTTTTAAGCGGCTTAGAGCATTGTCAGGCTCCTAGTGAGAAAATAAGCAATGGTCATAATTCATATAGTTCCTTCTCCTTTGACCATGTCATTTGAATCATCCAACATAACTGTAATGGTCAAATACTGCCTACCATATGTATTTACTCTGAGCTAACAGTTAAAGACATTTACAAAGTAATCCTTTTTTACTTTTCAGGTTTACCACCGCCTTGCCCCCATGCTACTTTGATGAGAAACTCCCCCATTTCTCGAGCGTATTTTGTAGGGAGCAAATTAAAGTTCAAAATAAAGATTAAGACAACACTATGTCTGCTACAGTCAGTGCAATTCTGGAAAACGTCCTTTGAGCACAAAATATTTAGCAGTAGAAGTCATGTAGAATGATGGTTCGGATAGTTGATTCTAGCATTAAAATGAATTCATATTCCAACACATCACCTTGAATAAGTCTCTAATCTCTCACTTCTCCAGTTTCCTCATCTGTAAAATTGAGATCAGTGGGATTATAGAGAATCTTAAGTGGAGTAATAAATACAAAGAAAGTGCTTAGCACAATGCCAGACACAAGTAAATTCTTATAATTTTCAGCTATTATGATGATAAGCAACTTTACTTTTTGTTTTCAATTGTAACTAAAGACTAAAAAAGTTCCCTGTGGCTTTTCATTTACTATAGACTTTTTATTGAATACCTATTTCGATATGTCACTTAAAATTTAGAGAACCTAGTCTCAAGGAATTAGGCAAAGGAAGGCAAAAATACATTAGGAACAGAAATCAGAGTCTGATCCAATGTGTTATTGGCACCTTCATCCCCTGCCTGTCTCTCCACCCACCCCTAGCACCTTGCCCATATTGGTAATTAACAAGCTGAAGCAACGGACTCCAAAGAAATACACAAAACTTCCTCTTCCCTCTTATGTTATTTTAATTGTGTGTATTTTGTTTTTAAGCATGGCTCTTTGGGGGAAAACACAATGTGTCTACTATAGAAAAACACATATTCTTTTAGGCAAGTAATTTTGGAAGCAAAAGATGGTCTCCAGGGTATGAAGATGGAAAAGGAGTAGTATTAGCAGAAGATAGCACAGAATGCGCATTTTATAGTGTAAAAGAAAGATATTTTAGCCTCCCTGCCTAAAACAACACTGTGCACACTATCAGTTATGCTGAATTGTTGAATAAAAAGGAACCAGCTACAATATGACTGCTCAGAGTGAAAGTCAATAGTCAACTCCTAGGTAGCATCCCAAGGCAGCAGAAATCTCTCGCACTCATGACACACAGAGGCTTAATTGGTCCTCCTATGGTTTGGAAGAAAGGCCTTGAAAATACTTCTGACCTCTTCGAAGCAGATTTATAGACTTGTAACAGTGCTTTAATCCTTGCATCCTAGAATTGCCAAGGTAATAGAATATCAGTGGATAAAAGCCTAGTAAGACAATGATCATCTGATATTCCAACTCTGTGCCAGGCCAATTTGGGATTTCAATCACTTCCTTTCTCTGAGCCCTGAACTCCCCTCACATAATGTCTAAGGGGTGTATTTTTCCTTTATATTTTTTCCATATTGTCTCCTGGTAGGTTTCTTTCTTTTTCTTTCTTTCCTTCTTTCTTTTTCTTTCTTTCTTTCTTTCTTTCTTTCTTTCTTTCTTTCTTTCTTTCTTTCTTTCTTTTTCTTTCTTTTTCTTCTTCTTCTTCTTCTTCTTCTTTCTTTCTTTCTTTCTTTCCTTTTTTTTCTTTCTTTAGCTCTCGCTCTCTCTTCATTCCTTCTTCTCTTTCCCTTTCCTTCTTTCTTTCTTCTCTAAGTGTTTGAATGTCTACCATGGAATTTTTGGTTAACTTAATGCATCCCTTTTTACTTGTTATAATCTAAATTCCTTGAGATAATCTACTCTTGCTCTGAACTCTGCTCCCCTGTCTGCAGCTGGTGCTTCTCTGATATACCTTCCCTTCCTTATTCATTTACATCATCTTACATCATAAAACAGTGTTGTTCTTACTATGATCCCTAAAGAAATGAGAAGATATTCATAAAAATTATCATGAAATAATAAATTCTATTTAAAAGATAGGCATACTAGAACACAAATATCTATAGGAGTTTTGCCCCTTTTGGAAAAGTTGCAGTGATATTCACAAAGGCTTTGGAATTAATTTTGGAATCATTTTATGATCTTCACAAGAAAATCACCCAATTACCTTACCTTAGCTCCGTATTTTACCCAGATTAGTATTACTCACCTAATTCACCAGACTGATGCCAAACTCCCTTTGATAGCTTCCAGAGCTCACAGCAGTCCCACTTCTAGGAAGGATCTTCAAAAGAATATGGAACATATCCCGAGGACAAGTCTGGAGAATTACAAAATCGTTTTTGAGTAATGGCAGCATAATTAAAATGTCTATAGTTCCCAAGTACTTTAGAAGGGAAAACTCCCTTTTAGATAAGAGTAAATTCCTTTATTTCTGGTAACAGACTGAACTCACTGTTTTATAGTCACATCCTAAAAGCCAACTCAAAGATTCTGTTACTTTAAATTATGTTCCAGTACGTAGTACACTTAAAACTTTTAATCTGTGTACGTGAAAGATATGCTCTTGACAATAACAGTGTGTCTGTCTTATTGTCTCTAGGACTATCCTTGATAAAAAGGAACTACTAGAATTTGCTCAACTTGGCTGTTACTTGGAATATGATCTCTTTGGGACTGCACTCCTTCATTACCAATTCAACCCGGATATCGACATGCCCGATGATAATAAAAGAATTAGAAGGTAAATATGATGAAATAAATCTCTGATAGCATTTCCTTTTACCAGCCCTTTTTGATTCATATCTGGGTGGGTATTAGCAAAGATTCGGAAAACAGTATGCAGGCGGAACCAGAGATTTGCAGAAAAAAAAAAATGTATCGATGCTGTTTCAGGGAGAAAAATCTCTATATATTATTTCAAGAAGCAAATGAGTCATCCTAAGTAGGCAAAAGCTTAGCAGCGCCTTAGAAGTTCAGTTGCAGATGGGCAGCTGACAAGAAACAGATAATACTTAACCCCTGCCACGACGATACGAGAACAAAGATGTTTTCCTCTTTTCCTCCCTAATGAAGTAAGCGGTTTCTTTCCCATGTTGTCCACACTGAAGTCCTAACCTCCTACAATGAATCTTTGAAATGCTTTATCAAAAACATTCACTCTGGAGATGATTGAAACTTAAAATGCTGTAAGTTGAATGTCTAAAGACCAAACGTCATATAAAATCCAATCCCTCGTAGTTGTCCAAGGAAATAATTGTATGAGTCATTCTCTGCAACCAAGTAGACTACGTTTGGAGCCAAGGACGGATGGGTACCTGGTTTGTCTTGGTTGCACGGTGATGTGAAGACTGAATGAGGCATGTGAGGGATAATGGGAGGAGAAACAGATTTGGGGTTCACAAGGGTGACTGGTTTGGGAATATTTAAGAGTTGCTCCCCAGTGGAGCCATGGATAAGGGTGTGAAGCTCAGGGCGGAGATCTGGACTCAGACATCAACCGAGGCATCTTTGGTCTGTATGTCAGGCTGGCAGCGTGGGAGTGAATGAGACCACTCAGATAAGAGGATAAGGACAGAACTCTGGAGAGCACTGATATTTAGGGAATGGACTCTGGAACAGTCCCTCAGGGACAAATTGAAAAGTTTTCAAAGTAAGAAGAATATCAGGGAAATGTATTGTTGTGGGAGTTAGTGCAGGAGAACGCTCAACGTGGAAGGGCTTGGACACCTGACAGGTGGCAGACGTCAGGTGCGGCAGAGGCTGAAAAGTGTCCTTTGGATTTCACAGTCTGGAGATTCCCTTGCACGTTCAGTCAGTGCAGTCTCTGTAGCAAGGGCATGAGGAATGAGGCGGGGGTAAGGAAGAGGAGAGAGAATGTGGAGGCTACTCTTTCCAGAAGCCGGGGTGTAGGGCCAAAGTGAGAAGCCCTGGCTGGATCAAGGGAAGGCTTTGTTAAGAGTTGAGCAATGTTTCTGGGCCTGAGAGTGAAAGCGGAGAGACAGAGACGACCAGGCCTGGGAAGCTGTGCCTATCATTCTACAAGGTTGTTATGGAATTTATATGAAATAAAGGATGCAGACTTTTTATGGGAGCGCCTGGTGCAGAATATGAAAATAGTCAATCGATGCTAACTTACAACAATCTGGAGAAGGGAGCGATGGAGCGAGGCTTTGAAGGAGACAAACAGATGGAATCTGAGGAGCAAACAGAAAGTTGGTTGAAAGGTATAAGGCGAGCGACAGAGTGAAGGCAGACAGACGTCAGGGTGAGACCAGGAAACTGAGGACCTACGGCCACACGTGTTCTGCGGTGTCCCTGGGAAGCAGACGTGCTTCTCTTCTGCGAAGGAAGGAACAGATTCAGGGCAGGACCTCGTAGACGAGGAGGAAGGCTGGGAACGGGTGCTGAGGGGATGAGAGAGACACCGATGGGACGCCTGGTGTGTGAGAGGCCGGTGAGGCACAACTGTGAGGAGGTTGGGATTCCGTCCTCAAAAACATGGCTGACGGCAGGGGGATGGGGTCATGACCTCAGAAGTGATGTCCAGAAACTGAGGCAAGCAGCAAGCAGCAAGCGCAGGACACGTATGCACACGGGGGTTGTGGGGAAGACCTGGAGCCGGGGGCCACGGTCGGGACAGGCCTCAGCTCCTACCCTGGGCGGCCCACCTTCACAGCCGTGTGCCTTCTGCCGCCACGGGTAGGGTCACTCCTCTCCGATGGCCTCATTAGCAGTAAAAGATGCTTCAGGTTTAATGTCGTCAGGGAGAGCTGGTTGATCCGGGTAACACTAGCTTCGTGGATATGGAGATGCTCAGCTGGCCGTGAGCAAGCTGACCTGACCGATGAAGCTAGGTCTTTTAAAAGTGTTTTTAAACCACTGAAATCGGTTCTTGGACACACGGATTTATGGTTTGTTTTTGCTTCGTTCATTCTGTGTTATGATTCTCACTTACTTGCCCAGGAGCACCATTCAGTACAGGCAAACAAGTGTCCCTAGGGCCCTACTAGCTGGGGCCGGGCTCGGGGGTGGATATTCTCTGGGATTTAGAGCAGGCCGTGTGGTAGGGCTTTCTCATCTTTCATGATCTCAAAACCATGATTTCCTGAGGAATGCCCTCCACCCATGTTTCACCATTCATCTTGGAAATGGGAAGTCTGATTCTAGGACCTGCTTCCTTTTCCTAAGCCCCTTCGTGGTGTGAGCTGTATCTTTTGTATCTTTTGGAGGACCCCTATGCCATCCATGAGGCTCCCAGGCCTGAATAAGAGAGAGGGGGTCTGCAGAGGGGGTCTGTGAAGGAGGTACGGGGGGAAGGACCACCTGCACCTCGCTTCATATTCCTCCTTAGCAACTTTTGGCTATTCTTTCAAGAACAAGAATATCATCCCAGTCAGCTTTCCTGGAACCAAACGTAAACATTCTAGATGTAGGGAAATCCATCAGAATTTATGTCTAATGTATGTGTGCTTATGTATATCTACATACGTAGATATACTTAATTGTTCTTAAATTAAAATCATGCATAAGGTCAGTTGACTCAAGCACAGCTCACGGTAATTACCGAATGACCTTCTGGGAGGAGGGTGTGCTCCAGTACCCCGCCTGTCCCCCCCTCTCTTGGACACTTGATTTTCATCACCCATTGGCAGTCCTTTTGCGAGCCTTAGTCATCTTACAGCTCGGAACTGCAAGAACATAGAAGCACGCTTCTGCCTACCTCTGGTTTTCAGCCCCAGAAATTCTGTGTCTAACACCTGTTTTCAATCTTATGCTCCATTTCTCAAATCTTATTATATCTCTGCCTTTTCACACTTTGTAGTCTCTCTCTAATATTTGTTTGCAAAACACTAACTCATTTGTATTTCTATAATTACTGTCATATTTGTCTTCTCATCTACAGTGGTTCTTTCCTTCTGGCGGCATCTCTGGAACTACTGTTCTTCCATACAATGGCATAGCATGGGAGATGAGCTTTTATTTCAAGAGTGGCCAAGTTCTGTCTTGATAGGCAGGAGATAACTATGTTTGTAGCGCCACGACAGTGTCTCTCTCGTGAGAGACTAGTCTCCAGATTCTTGACTTAACGAGTTCTAAGGGTTCTCGTTTTTCAATGAGTATCTTCTCCATCATACTCTTTCCTTACTACTTCACAGTTCTATAACTTTGTGTTTCAGGGTCTGGCACGAGGCCATGGGCAGAAATTTGTCTGTTCCTATGATACGCCTCTGTAGTAATGTGATATTCTTTTTTCTCAGACCAGGCAAAGAAACAGAAATTTTGGCAAATGCTCAGGAAATATAAGGGGGAAGGTGTACCCTAAAATTTCCTGGTCATGTGATACTCCTTTTCAGTTGGGGATTCAGGTTTGTTATACTAAGTTTCAGCAATGTGTGCGCATCCCATCAAATCTTCCTCTTTTTTACATAAATGATCATATAATTCTCTTAGAACATTCCCTTAAATGGGGTTTGTTCCAAAAGTAACGCCAGATCAGAGCTTTGGGACGTTATACAAATTTTAAAGAGGTAAATATCCATGGTGGCACAGACAGCAGTCCAAGTACTTATAGGACATGCAGGGATACACGTGACATGAATGCAGATTTCTAGACGAAAAGGCTCAGGGTGGCTCTTCTCTGGCACTTGCATTCCTTTGACCTACAAACACAAGACCTCATCTTCAATGATCATTTTATTTTAAAATGTATGTTCTCAGAGGGCAGGGCTTTGTGCTTGCCGTTTTTGTGTAGTGGCCCACATTTTGCTTATTTTAGTAGTTATGAAATATGACTCATGCACTAGAATGGCAAGAAATGTCATAGAAACAAAAAGAATACCTTTTAAATAATTAGCCCTTGGAAGAAGGTGCTTGTCCGACCATCTAGATTCATTTGGGAATCCAGAGACTGACAAGACCGCATAAAGAATGCCAGAGAAGAACCACTGTCTCCAAGTACACGTCCTGCCATCAGAGACTCGTGGAAGTCACGACAGACACTGCCCAGAGTCCAGACGCACACAGATGGTGGCTGTCAGGAGGTGACTCACACTATAGATTACAGCATTTAACAAAGCAAAGAGGATTAGATGTTTAGACAGTAGTTGGAAAGCCATTCTCTAGGCAACTGACTATATATTTAAAGGAACAGCTCAATATTTAGAACAATCTTGTTGAGATAGAAGGAAGATAGAGTAAGTCTTTACTGGTTGATTTAATCCAATGCCTCAAGATGACTACTAAGTCAAAATTCCCACAGACTTCAAAGGGACCATTGTTCAAAATACAGAGGTACCTTTACTGACCTTTTTAAAATGACCATCTAGTTTATCATATGCCCTTCACTTTCAAACCAGCAGATTCTACTCTCAGAATATTTTACTTGTACAAAGATTTCTTTGGTTTCCCTATTTTAATCACAAATTCCAATTGATTATATTTGCTGGAAGAAAGGAGAGAGAGAGAGAGAGAGAGAGAGAGAGAGAGAGAGAGAGAGAGAGAGAAAGGAAATGGGGTCTGAAAAATGGGCCCATTAAGAGAGAGATTTTAGAGCAGGGGGCTGGTTACAAATCCAGAATGAAGTTACTTTGTGACATGCCAAAGTGGCCGTTCATACAGACCAGCACATCCTATTAGAGGCTGCTTTTAATGCAGTATTGCAGGCATTGTGGTAAATACCACAGGCTAGAAGGTTCTGTGTGCATGGAATCAGGGTCACGTTCCTAGTAGGATGCAATACTATCTTTATCACTACCATGCAATATTTATTAAGGGTCTCCCACTACACATGCCATAGCAGGAGACCGTATTTCTATAGCAAGCACAAGAGGTTTATGAATAAAACGTTTAAAGCACCCTGATCATTTTAAATGTGAGACCAATGCCATGTAATGAGTTAACATTTTTCACAGAGTGCGTCTCCTGGTGGATGAGGGCTATGAAGATCGAATTCTGATGGCGCATGACATACATACGAAGCACCGGCTAATGAAATACGGAGGTCATGGCTATTCTCATATACTTACCAACATTGTTCCTAAAATGTTGCTTAGAGGTATCACCGAGAATGCACTTGATAAGATACTCATAGAAAACCCTAAGCAATGGCTAACTTTCAAATAGGATGGTTGTTTATGAATTCACACCTTGAGTATAAAGCTTGCGGAGGACATTTCTCAGTGATTTCAAACCCACTGTGAGATATTAATCAGAGCTCTGTAGGACTAATGACGGGTCATTTCGTCTTTAGGAGAATCAGAAGAGTTTTGCATTCTCAGAAACCAGTTATGACCTCTGTGCCTTTAGGAAGCTACTGACTTAATTGGGCCTATTGTTTTGCCTTCACAAAATAAACACAGAAATACCAATTTCCAGTGATTTACAGTCTGTATCCTCTTAGTGGAGTCTCGTTTTGTTTTCTTAATCTATCAGCTGCACTACTTGAGAAAATTTAAAGTGTTTCTAGTCAAATTACCCCCTTCTGGAGCAATCTAATGTTTCTTGTAATATTGATGATCGTACTAATTATCCTGCTGTTCTTTAATTAATGCTTAATGAATAATATGGCACTTTAAAATAGCTTCGGTAGCAAGGGAAGTTAAATTTTGCAGCTTTTTTTTTTCCATAGGATACTGTAATACAATTACCAATTCACAATGGTAAAAATATTGTGTAAGCTTAATTATATGCCATCTCTCTTATCTGTATTTACTGATAATAAATCAGTTTGGTTGCCTTTGGCTTGCTGGTATCCATTTTTGCTGTAAAACTATGTTGCTTTAAAAAATTTGTAGAAGGGAGCATGAACACATAATGCTCAATTATAAAAATTCAATCATAAAAGTCAAAATATATTACATAATATAGTTTAATGAATCATTACATTGATAATAACAAAGGCCACAGTTTAATTAATAATATATAATGCAAAAAAAAAAAGAGAAATGTTAGCCTTATATATATTCCCTTTATTTCCTTTACCTTTTATTTGTTTTTCCTTGGGCCTAAACAGAGAAAATAATGCTTAGTTATCTGAAGAAAAGGTCAGATCCATTAGAAATGACATTCTGATTCTAGAGCCTATTCTTGAAAAGGTACCCAGCCCTGATGTTTTGTGTAAATAAAGCCTTTTTAAAACTCACAGAAGATGTGCACTGCTGTTTTATAAATTAATCTTTTGGTTGATTCCTCATTATGCTGTTTGTTACCCCCCCCCACCACCACCAAGAAAAATCCCCAAACTCTTTCTACCAATCCCTCTTTGATAAATATATATTGTTAAACAGAAATAAATCCATTGCAACTCCTTTATGAATCTGCTAACATATCAGAAAAAGCCAAACAGAATTAGTCATTATTCTTGATGAACGGGCTAAGTGTTTTTAATCATAAAAATCATGACAGTTACTCAGACCAAGGCATTTAAACCAAGCCAACAGCACCTTCAGATGGGAACATGCGTAACTCTTTTGGAAAGTTGAGGTTTTCTAAATACAAGATATTTCTGTGGATCAAAGATGATCAAGCTTTCTGTGTATTAGAACAGAAAGTACCCAAGAGGAATGAGCCAGAACAAACTAATTCCTTTAAATGAAAAAATGCAAATGTCCTTCACCAGTAAAACAAGCAGATTTTTACATCCCTGTTTTTCAAATCTACGCGTCCACAGAGTCTTCAAAGGCAACGGAGAGGGGAACAGATTTTTCATTGTAATAGTGGAAGTTGTCTGATAGGGTATATCAACATGCATTTTTAATCTTTTTCTTAGGTTAAAGAGATGGCTTTGGCAGTGTGTTTTAACCAGAGAGAAATGATTTGCACTACTCTCGGAATCTACTCTACTGTCCGCTTTAATCCACCTGAGAAAAAAGAAAAGGAATTGATAATTCAAACGCATATGATTCATAAATGTTGCAAAAGAGAGCCACTTTGTTTCTGCAGTCCTAATATTAACAGTCTGCCACAGAATGCAGTGGAAGTATTGATTGGCATATGGTAATAAAGAAACCATAGGCTTAATTTATAGACATGTGATGTATAGGGCATTTTAACCAAATGAAATTTAATTTTCTGGGTAACTCTTACAAGAGAAGTCATTTAAATTATTTTGCTATTCCATATACTTTTGTAATCCAAAATATATTTCGATCCAAAATAAGTCAAATAATTTATGTGTGTTTGTGTGTATATATACACATATTTTTTAAATTAAATTTCTGAGGCTATACAGCCACTGTGCCTATGGTCTGAAGCCATTATATATATGTATATATATATATACACATATATATGTGTGTATATATATATAATATTTGATCTAACGTGTGTGTATGTGTGTGTTTTTATGTGTACACACGCAAATACATGTATATGTAGCACGTATTTGTATAAAATATATACACTTTGTTGTCTTATTGGTTACATGTGAAATCGTTCATTTTGAAATAACCTCGGGCCACGACTTGTAGTAACTATTCGAAGGCCTTAACTTAGGGTCCCCTTGGTGACTCATGCAGTAGCTCAAATTAAACCATTGTGCATTGGGTTATGAATAATCTTTTGTTCCAAAGAAGCCGAAAGCCTCAGTCTGATTTAACACCAAAGAATAAATGTCTCTGACTTTCTAAGTAAATCTAAACGCATTCTATTGACAAAATGGACACACAGGGGAATTTCTAAATACCATACATAATTACACATTTTCACACTTAGAAGGTAATCCTATGATACAATTTCGATCTCTATATTTAAAGACTATCACCAGAAAAGAGAGAAAAGAAAATTTGTAAGAAAAAGAAAATGTGAAAATGATCACAGGCTTGGGAATTCCCTCAAATCCAGAAGATTCCAGGTTAAGGCTTGAAGTTGAATCATTCCCAGGACTAGCTCTAAAGTTAACAAAAGTACAAGGCAAACAATTTCTTTGGGGACAAGCAGCATTATTTCAATCAGACCTTCTCCTGCAGGGTAAACTCATTCTCCCCACACTATGAATGGACTCCAAGTATCATAATAAGCAGGTAAACTCACAAGAACCGAAGCTGACATATGGATAAAAGCTGCAAGATCACAGTACACCAAAGTATCATATATATTGGAGAAATAATTCAGTGTCTTAGATTTTTCTATAAAAATTTGTGATCTATATAGGACTTCATTCACATGGACACTAACGATAAGGAGTATTTGCTTTGGCGGTAGTGGATAACACATCTGCTTATCTTGCTTTTAATATTTTTTTTTACATGATGTTTCTGAGTGTACAGATGTGAGTCAGGTAGCATTTGCATTGCCCACATATACACAACTGAGGTGCCCCGCAACCGGCATCCCCCGGGGATCCTTGATTCACGGACGTTAGCCAAACGAATCCAGTGTCCAAACTCAGAATAAGCAGCTTAGTTTCTGTGGTATCAGTCAGCGTAAATAATAAATCCAGAAAATGTGCTGTATTTGTTGTTATTCCCTCCGTGGGCTTTCCCACCATCTAATTTGATGTAGACTTCATCTCCCGGCTCCAGGTGAAGAACCACACTGTTACTGGCATAGTCGTAATTCTGGTCGGCGTCTTGAGCGATGGCACTGGCACGCACCTGTGTGGAACAAACAAGAATTAGAATTCGGAGGAGAAGATGCCCAGGTTTCCTCTTTGCCATTCACACAGCCTCAGAAGCCCACCTGCTGCCATAGCACAGGATTCAGCGTGGGGGAGTCCCCCTGGGCCCCCCCCGGAGCTCTACAGGGCTAGCTCTGTAACAGTTTCAACTATGCCACTGGAAAGGAGCAGAATCGAGTAAGAGGTGCTTTCGCCAGGGCCATTCCAGCAGTCTCTTCCCACCGCAGGTTGTCGACAACACACACCACGCTATCCTCTTCCTAAATCAGCACTTTTTCTAATTCCTTGAATCTCCAGGCCCAATCCCTTCTCGAAATGGGAAATAAGGGTATTTTTTTTTTGCATTTTAATTTAAGCCAATTAGCAATATGCTAACCAGATGTTTACGAGGACAGAGGTTCAATCCGAACCTCAGCTGGTCCCCACGATTATGAGAAAATTGAGATCCAGAGCAGTTGATGCTCAGAGACATAACACGACTCTGACTCTACTGTATAGGGAGAAGGAAAAAAAAAAAAAGAAGAAGAAGAAGAGAGCCTTTTGATTTGGGGCTTTTGAAAATCTTGGCCAGAAACCTCATTTAAACATCACCCAAGTGTGCTGAGTTCATTTTTCCATTTTTGCCTTTTTATTACTTACCTGTGATGCGTGCACTTGAATAAATTATTTAATGTCAACATACCTAAAAGTTACAGAGGGAACTAAGCTTTGAGGTCTCTAAAATTCCTAAAAATTTTTGAGTGATATGATTGAATATCCTTTTACATTTAAGTGATCCTAAAAATGTGTGGTTTGCTTTGAGGACAGAAGTTGCCTATAATCCACTCATGCCGAGCCTGTGATCTCATTAGTGGGTTGACAGACATTTGCAAACAGTCAAATTGCCTATCATTTCAAGTAATATGGACATTCCATCATATCCTCAACTCAAATTAGGCTTCCTATTTATTTAGCTATATCTTGATCCTGCCTTGGAAAAAAATGTTCAATAGGCAGACTTGTATTTGATTGATTTCGGTAAAACATCCACTCTGTGCCTTGTTTCTATTCCACTATAATGGTATTTCCCTGAATAACATAGCAAGTGATTTAGTGGTTTTGTAAACTTGCATTATGTAATAATGCATGACTTGGGGTAGAGCATGCTGGATTTTATCACTTGGCAAAATGAGAGAAAAGAGACATAAGTCAAGAATTTCCATGCATTTCTTTCAAAACTTAAACGATAGGTTTTCAAATTAAATTTTCATGCGGTGTGTTCTCACATTAATGCTGAAATGTTAAAAAAGGAGAAGGCTCTTTGACACTGCTGAACTTGTAAAGTAATTTGAGTAGTATTTAAAAAATTTCTTCGTGGGTATCGTACAGCAAAAGGAGAAAGGGGCTTAAAAGATTTAGAATTGCTTAACACTGTGCTGACACTAATACAGTGAAAGCAATATGCCATGCAATTATGCTCAGAAACACTGACTCAAATGTATACACCAATTCAGTGAAGCGATCTGTTTTGACCGCTAAGTAATAATACAATTTAATGTTGTAATATTTCCTAGAAATTAATCATAAGTTTGTAGGAGTTGAGTGCTTTGATTTATTAATTTCGCCTAGTCATTAATGCCCCGGGGGGAAAAAATCTACAAGGAGGATAGCATCGTTATGACCTCATCTTTTTCTTTTTTTTTTTTTTTTAACGTGTGGACTTTTTAATGGGTGAGAAAATTTAAAACACAAATCAGTCATTTAGCCATGCCAGTAACATATTAATGAGCAATCCATAAATATATTTTTCAGCTATTATTAATAACCAGACACATTTTATTTAGTGCTTTAGGTGTCTAATATATGCTCTCTGGGTATTGCTTTAACACTGTTTTCTATATAAAGACATCTGGGAACCAGTACTCATTAAAATCCCTCCATTTAGAGACAATAGTCTTAAATATACATGTAATGCAGTTTTTTTATTCTACAAGGTATAAGCACAAAGCCATGTAAATATGACCATTCTGATTCTGTAGCTACAACCACAAAAACCTGCAAATGCATTAGTGCGATCCCACAGACTGGAAGGTTACCCTTATGGTTTTTCACTTCCTTTGTTGTGTGATAGCTTTTTAATGAAAGTGATTCTCTTAAGATTTTAACCTATACTGTACCATGAGACTTTCCCAATTAAATAACTGCCACACTCCAGTGTACTTTGCATGATTTTTGTACACCTGCTCACCTGATCCTACCGTAAAGGTATAATGGAACTTGAAATTTCAAGCTCTAGTAATCAGCTCGGTGACTTCCAACAACTCTCCCTTAAAGCCATCAAACTACAGGGAAGGTAATGTATCCACCTTGGAGGCTATTTTCAGGTTCCTAAATGTACACCGATTTCAGCATTTTCTCCGGGAATATGATGCATCCTTTCCTTGCCTGATATACTCATTTCTGCCTAAATGTACTCTAATATCTTTTCATATTATAAGTTAACTATTTGGAGCCTGCTTGATCTGTAGCTCATGTTTCACAGCTTTTAAAAAGAGAGTATTAATTTGGCATTTCATTAATCTCACTAATTTATGAAGGAATATCCACCCACGAACTATTGTTTCCAATATATCTCATGTTCATTGGTGTTGTAATTAATACCTTCTTAGAATAAACCAGGCCTTCAATTATTTTATAGTTCTAATCTTGAGCCAGTTCTAGTTTTTATGATAGGGGCTTATGATAGTGGTATTACATTGGCTGTATTCAAAGAACAATTTTTAAATTCAGGTTTTCTGCTAAAGGTATGCGAACACATTAAAATTATATTTCCTGTCTGTGAAGCCATTCGAGTCCAACTTTTACCTTGCATATGCACTGTCATGGGCTCTCAACGAATGGTATGATTAAATTTAGGTTGATGGTTTCATGGGGAATATGAGAACTGTGATCCTTTTAGTGGCATGTCTGTGAGAACATAGTAGCTTGTGTGGCTTTAGCATTATCTTATTAGTGAGGGTTTATTATTAGAGACAATATTTATGGTAACATTTGCTAATTTAATTAATTGCTACTGATGCTCTCATAATTTCATTTTCATTGTACTTCTGTGGAATCATAAACAAAAGGTTAAGTGGTGCATCAGATTAATTTACTGGCCTTTGATGTTTCCATCTGTGATCCTGCATTCAACACAAAGCATAAATAAAATGGTTCTCATATGGTTACGGTCCAGAGGCATTCCTCTACCCTAGAGTGAACTGAATTTTTAGTTTAATTTTTGTGCTTCTCAAATCCACTTAATCCATAGAACATTACGCTGACATGGATCTCTGAGTTTCTGTTTTGTGAAAACAAATTAGGTCTGCTCAGGGGGAAGCTGCCATTCTAAGAAGTGATCAGACAAGAAGAGAACTGAAAATCATGGATAAACTATTTAAAATTAAGAAAATAAACTTTATAAAATATTTCTCATTTGCAACTGTCTACAGATCAGACTTTACAAAACAGTTCTATTTTGTAATTCCTAAACAGTAATATTTCCTTAACAGTAATATTTTAATAGCTATTTTCCAAACTAGTCCATGCCAAGTTGAAAATACATTGTTTGTTGCTACCTATATTTTCCTGAATTACTTGTTGCACACCTTTTGAAGAAGTAGCAGCTTAATAATGCCAATGGAGAGCTTTATACATGATAAGGTCAGCTGGTTTGCCCTATTTTTTTTCCTCATGCTCGTAGAATGTGCATGCTAGGCTGATACAAAGGAGCATTCGGCTCTCCAAACAATGAAATAATTTTAAAAACAAAATGCACCTAAAACATGTGTACAAAACGGTTTTCTTGGGATCAGTTCAATATACCCGGGCTCAGCAGTTGACACAGCCACCTTTAAACTAATTTAAATGTGTCATCCCCTGATTTTTCATGCAATTGCCAATTTCCAGGTATTTAAAGATGTATTTTTATTCAGTGGCTGATAAAACTTGAACATTATTCCATTTTAATTAAAATCTCTAAAAAACAATCCTTCAGTCTTGACAGTATTTTCCAGACCTAACCTTTGAGTCAGGAGAGAGCCAACTGGTAAATAAATGGGTGCCTCATTGCTGTCTGCTAAGGGGCTGCTCATAAACCATTTTGTAAAGGTAACACAATAGCTCTATTTTGGTACAGTGAGTCATGCCCTTTTCAGCCATTTACCTAAAACCAACTCACTGCTCTGTAAATAATCTTTATCTTAATATTATTTTTGTGCATAATAACTATAATAAACAACCCTGTCAGTGCCTCCTGGTGGCCATTTTTCCTTTTTTTGTTTGTTTGTTTGTTTGTTTTACTTGTCCTGTGGGGTCCTGGAGCTATTTAATTCTAAATTCCTTTAGAAGTGATGGGTGGGAAGAGGGAGGAGGGACAGGATTTTTTGTCCTTTCCTTCTGATACATTTAGAATATTTGTCTTTCACTTTTGAAACAAAACAAAAGAAAACAAATCAAAACCCTGCAAAACTCTGATACCGAACTAGGTCTTTGGAAGAAATCTTGCCTTAATGCTGCTTTAATGGAAACCTGGATTATAACTGAAGAAGGTCTGGATTCAAGGAGCGGGTGACCTGAAGCCCTGTGGCGCTTGTTAAATCTAAGTTGGCCATGGCGGGGTTCTGGGCCATTCCCTGTGCCACCCAATCGGCAAAATTAAAGCCAGAGAACTCAGCCCAGACTGCAGGCTGCAGGTTGCAAGGCCTGGCCCAGAGCGTGGCTGCTGATTCAGCGCGCACCTCGGGTCCGGATGACACTCTCAGGTAGTCACAGCCACTATTTTCCTCTCTGAAGAGATCAGACCCACTTGGGGTGACCCCGAATTTCTCAAGCAAACGGTAAAGTGGCCCCAGCATAAAACTGCAGCCCCGTGTGACCCCCGTGGCAGGGCCGACCAGCTCGGGAGAGCGTCTCGGAGGAGGCCAGGGCTAATCTGAGGCTGGTTCACAGTCAAGGCCGAGGCGCCTGGCTTGGGAGGAGGCAGGGTTGGAAAGACTGTCACGCAGGAGGCCCCGGGGGCTCCCCGGGGCGAGGCCCTTCGCCTCCGCGCACCTGCCTGTGCGGCCTCCTACTCCAGCCAGTGGAGTCCCGCTTCCGTATTTGGGTGCGCGTTTTACTGAGTACACCCATGAGTCTCAACTTTTTTTCTTTTGTTGCCAGGACTCATTCCGTCCCCTTCTGCTCCTTGGGCTGAAATCTAAACCGGAGTTCGTCCCTTGCATTTGACGGTCTGCTCGTTTCCCGGGGCTGGGACGCGGCTGGGGCCTTGGCGACCGCCAGTGCGCGGGTCCCCTGGTCGACCCGCCCTGGGACGAGCCACACTGGGACTCGCTCTTTCGGGTCCCTTCCTTCTCCCGCGGGCCCCTTTCTCCCGCCTGGCACGCCCATTTCGGGGCTCCCCCTGCCCTGCCTGTTCCAGGCAAAGCCCGAGAGCGACCCTACGCTGCGGAAGAACCCCCCACTCCCCCCGCACCCCGGTGCCCCGGCTGTCCAGGGGACCGAGCTCCGGGCTCCCCCACCCTCGAGGGGCGCTCACGCCTGCCCGCCCGCCCGCGCGCTCGCTCGGAGCGGAGCGGAGTGGAGCGCAGGTCCCGGCGGGGGGACCGCCCTCTCCAGGCCTCCGGGCGCCCCCTTCGGCTCCCACCCCCATTTCCGGGGTCTCCTCCCTCCTGCCTGCACCTTCCCGCGCTCCCTCCCCGCCCACCCCGCTGCCTGCCTGCACTCACCTGGTTGTTCTTGCAGAGATCAGCCCACATGCTGGTGCCGTCCCCTCCGCGCATCAGGACGTGGTAGGTGAAGAAGTAGATGCCCGGGATGGAGCAGGTGAACTTGCCCGTCGTGGGGTCGTAGTGGTTGCCGAGGTTGGTGACCACGTCGTCGAACTTGAGCACCTCGTAGCCTTCGTGCTGCCGCTTGAGGCCGGCGTAGAAGGCGATCTTGGGCACCGTGCTGTAGGTGGCGGCACTGATCGCCCCGGCCGCGTTCAGGCCGGGCGCCCCGGGCGGGCCCGGCAGGCCTTGGCGGCCGGGCTCGCCCTTCTCGCCCGGAGGGCCCACGGGACCCGGCGGCCCGGGCTCCCCGGGGGGCCCCCGCGGGCCCGCCTTCCCCGGCCTGCCGGCCTCGCCCTTGGGGCCCTGGATGAAGGTGGGCAGGGACTGCATGAGGCCGCGGTCGGGCGTGGCGGCGGTGCTGGGCGCCTTCGTGCCCCCGTAGGGGTCGCAGACCATGCGGCAGGTGCCCAGCATCTCGTAGTGCGCCGACGTGCCGGCCGAGCTCACCAGCACCGGGATGAGGATGACCAGCAGCAGCACCATCACCACCCCCAGCGCCCCGGCGGCGATCAGGCGCCTCCTGCTGCCCACCAGCCGGCTCAGCGCGGGGCGATCCTCTTGTCTGCTTTTGGACAAAATTTTGAAGGTTGGGCGGGGACCTCCTCAGAGCCGAAAACAACCCCCTGCGAACCCCAACTCCCCTGGGCGCGCGCGCGCCGGCCGCTCCCCGCCTGCTCCCGCTGCCCCGCGGAAGCCGCGGCTGGGGACGGAGCTCGGACGCCGAGTGACTTGAGCTGAAGTCCCGGGCTGGGGGCGGGGGCCGGGGGCCGGGGGCCGGGGGCGGGGTGCGCGGGGCGCCCTCCTGCCTCCCGCGAGCCCCTCGGCACCTGTGGCTGCGGCGGGCGCGGGCGCGGGCGCGGGCGCGGCCACCCGCGGGGCAGAGCCTGCCGCCGCCTCTCGCGCCGGCCGGGCCGGCTCACACTTTTATGCAGCCGCGGCGTGCGATCGACTTTTCCGTTTTTGCCGACTGCGCCAGTTCGCACCAACTTTCCGTCTGAAGTTGCCTTTTCCTGCCTCCTCCCTTTGCCTCCTTCGCGTGCTCCGTTCGCCCTTGCGGCGCCTCTCTCCGCCTCCCCTGCAGCCGCCGCTACTCTGGAGACGCGCACCCCGGGCCCCCGGGCGCGCGGAGCCGCGGCGGCCGCCCCGGTGAGCTCGGGAGGCTCGGGGCCGGGGCGGAGGAGCTGGCGAGCAGCGGCGGGCGCCTCGCGGCCGGCCTCCGAGCGCCACGGAGACTGAACGCAGACTTGTGCCTGGGCACCACCTGCCAGGAGAAGAGGAGGCTGACAAACGCGCGCCGGAGCAATTTATAGGCACCCAAGGCACAGAGGAAGGGGAGCCGCTTTGGCATCTCACTGCAGCATCTGCTCTGCTCATCCCACTCAGAGAGAGTTTGGCATTACTCTGACAATGTGGGATTTTATCCCCCCCCCCCCCCAGCCTCTCTCTCTCTCTCTTTTTTTCCCCTCCGCACATGGATGAACAGTGAGATCGTGAATACTCCCTTGCTGAACCCAGGTGATGGCAGCGCTGTCGCTGGACATACCTGGGCGGGGGGGGGGGGGGGAGACAGATGTGCAATAGCCTTGGGTCCTCAAAGGTCACACCTAAGCCCTCTCTTTACCCCCCACCCCCACCCCGCGCCCCGCAGCGCCAGTTGGAGGATGGAGGTGAAGGTTGAAAAGACGGTGGCTTGGTTGACAGTATTTCTCTACTGGCTCACCCACCATCAACCGGTACTTCAGGTGCTTTTCAAAATGCCACTTTTAACATAAGAAGGGCCCTTTAGAATTTTTCCAGATGGGTTTTTTTTTTTTCCTTTTTAACCTTATGGTTTTCCTTGCCAGCCTTCTAAAATGAAAAATAAGATGCTACCCAGAGAACAGTAAGGTGTGTTGAAAAGCCAAAGGACGTTCTGGAGGATTATGGATGAACAGGCCCACCACACAATAGGGTGGGGTGGGGGGTTCTCTTAACAAATGCTGCAGATGGCGAGTATATAACTATGCCCTCTATTCGCAGGATTACAGTTCTAGCTACCTTTCGGGAGATCCTGCCACTGGACCTGAAGCTGCATTTCCTTGCACTACATGTATGAGAAATAATCACTTGTCAAAAGGTCTTTAAAAGACTTAAGACAAACCAAGCAGGCTTTACCAAAGTACGGGGCAAGATCTTTTGCTGAGATGTGTAAAATGTCCTATTAGCTTCACAGGGCATTTCCTGCATGTACACTGAGGCATGGGAGGAAAAAGGCAAAAATATGAGAAAGAAGAGCCCCATTTGCAGTTGGGAGAGCGGGAGAAGGAAAAGCCTGGTTTTGTAATATTAATGTAAAGCCCCCCAGAGTAGGTATTAGGCAACTTATCCCACTAACAAATACATAAGGCACAAGAACAGCTTTAAATAAACAAGTGGAATTGATTTGTAAATCATACTTTTGCATTCAGGAGCAATAGATGTCAATCAAACGTGGATGACATTTGCTTGTCAATACAGGGATGATGGCTGGGAAGATGGTGACTTATTACATCAGGGTGAGAATCAGAGATGAGAAGCCAGAACAAATAAGACTACAGCAAGCGAACGATGACATCCCCGGGGTGACGATCGGCGACCTGGGATCCTGTCTGTGGCCTCCACAGCAGAGTATTTCCATTTCTGTTTCTTCTGCCTAACTTCCACCCCGCGCCAATTTGGTTCTTTCTTTCCTTCTTCTCTGTTTCGAAACGAAATAAGGTCAAATGAGAGGCAGAAGAAAACAAAGATTCATTGATTCTTTTAAGAGAAATGTCAGCGGCTCCTTCAGATCTTTCCTGGGAGAATCTAGAGTGAGGCCCTGGTCCCTGGGGCTCAGCCCGGCCTAGGTCTCTGTATTTTCTCTCCCTCTGGCTGCTAAGGTTACCGCTGCTCCTGTATGTAACTGGACAAGAGTCCTTCCCACTCCCCAAATAGTTAACTTTTAGGGTAGTGGTTTTAAAAGTGTGTGTCCATGTCTTGGGCATAATTATACATCTATTTCAGAATACCTGGGTTCACACGAGGTACCGTATTTTCATATGTTTGAGCAGCAGACACATGGAAAGTTCTCCGCCGCCCCCCCCCCCCCCGGCCACAATACCTATATTCCTAACACACCATCTAGGTTGCTTCTCAAAAGTCACATTTCTTTTGGGGGGCAAGACAGTAAAGGGTGGGAATGATGGTGAAGGTTAATGTATTAATCAAACTCTTTCCAAATGCACCAAGTTATCAAAATTCATAAGACCTCTTTGTTGCTAGAGAGAGTCCAGTGGGGGATCAAGAGGGAGTTTTTAAAAGGGAGAGTTGAATAAATAAATTCTCACTGAAAACCTCAAGATACATTTCCATCGAAGATGGCTCGTCTTACAGAAGAACCCAGTAAGGATACCATGATATGGGAGAGTCAGAATGAACGCTAGAAAGCTAGGCCATACTTTTGCAGATGGTAGGTGTGAGACACAGCTGTGAGCAGAATAAGGGCCGCCCAGTGTGTGTGCTGGCACACTTTCCCTCTACACTGTGAAACCAGACCTGTGGGACCGAACATTCCACCCTAGTAATGGAAGCGTTTCTCCTTCCGCTTTCTCTAATGTCAAAGCATAGGTTGTTTTTTGCAAGAGAGGGCCCCAGCATCTGGAAGTTCTGCTGAGATTTGGAAAAGTGCTCTGTAGGCATCATACACAAATGCAGGCAACACTTCCCAGGTCACATGGCTGACCCGTTTTTCTAGTGAGCGCACAAATCCAGGTGGGCTCATTGACAGTTGGCTTTTGGGTGAAGTAAGTTTCAAGGATTGACCTCCTCCCCTTTCTCTAGAAGCGTCCCACCATGTACTTTGGGAGAAATTTTGTTGTTGTTGTTCAAGGATGGCTGTATAGTAGATGAACTAATGGCTGGTTGCTGACACTTCCTACTGCTTGAATTTCTCAGAAGGTTCTCTGGGTAGTTACTCACGCTTCAGCCCTTATTCTGACAGTTTGAATAAGCCATCTGATTTGGCATATTACTCATCATCTCTATATGTATATAATAATAGAAAATGTGTCAATTAAAAAAAATATTTGATTCTCTTCAGTCCTCATCAGAGAAGCAAGTTTTCTCTAGAAGTTGATATTAATCTTGGAAGTAAGCCTTAGAATCTGATTTTTCCCAATCATTTCTGAAGAAAACATAAGACTCTCTATTCCCATTCCTTCTGTACCTGGGGCCTTTGTGACTGCTCAGATCATAAAGTCAAATACAGAAACTCGAGATCTGGTTTAGATGATTATCCAGTGATTTTCATCTTCCTGCATCATTTCTGTCTCTTTCGGAGAATGGAGCATATCCGAAGCACACGACTCCCACACAGACGTGCACCACCATCCATTAATCTTTATTGAGCGCCCACTGGCAGCACAGCCCTACACTGGGCTCTTACTAGGCAAACAAATCTTTAGTCATGAGAATGATTTCCAAATCCAGCAGTACTTAAACAGAAATAGCATTTATAAGAGGAAAATAACATGAGTTAACAAACCCAAGGAACTATCTACAAAAATAGAGATAAAAAGTATAAAAAAAAAACCCATGCTGGATTAGCTATTTACCTTTGATTTCAGGATCTCCAAATTATATCTAGAGCCTACACTCCCTTGACTGAAGAGTTACAGGTTTCCAGCCAGAGAGGGTCTGCTTGGAGTAATGTAGGAAAGTAGTATATCCTTATGGCTTTGGAATTAGATGGGTCTTAATTTGGATCCTGGTTCCCTCATTTAGTAGCTATGAAAGTTACTTAGTCTCCCTGAGCCTTATTTTCTCTTTTCTCTAAAATGGGAATAACACTAATATACGGTTGTTGTGAAGACTGAGCAAGTTAATGCGTACAATTACAATGATACCCAATTCATAAGCAGAGCCCAATAAATGTCCATTTCCACGTTCATATGCTGTAGGACTGCTGAGTAGTGTGTGTGCATATGGGCTGGATGGTGGAACACAGGCTTAGGAAAGGAAGCTAAAGGGTCAGACTTAAGACAAATGACATCAAATGGATACTAAATATCATAGATTTAGACAAAATTAGAACACTCAAGTTCTCCAGCAGTTGCTTGTGTGTATTGTTGTAGCACATAAAACAAAGTAAGAGAAAACTCAAAACAAGGATCACTTCACCCTTCTCCAAAGTCAGAAAAAAAAAAAGTTTTAAAGCAAGATAATTTGAATTCACTGCAGTTTGACAGACCAAGATTTTGGATTTACAACCTAGTTAGGAAGCACTAAAATGTGTTTTTCCCCTGCTCTGGAAAGTTCCCCTTAGTCAACAAGTTGCAAGTGTGTTTAAAAATCACTGAGATGGTGGTTAGTCAGGAATTGTTCCTGTGGATGATGGTTCTCAAAAAAGTGAACATCCCAGAGAGGGCTGCTTTGAGTTAGCCAGAAGAGTAATCACTCTGAAGGATACCTAAGGCATAACCACACGCAGTAGGGAATTTTCAACGAAAAACTCTCCATGGAGGATAGTGAGTTGGAGAGCTAGCTTGGGGAGTCTATTGTCAGAAAATTATTGAATAGCCAGATGAAGATGATAAGCAGCACATGACATAAGGCTTGGGTACCACGTCTGGCTTCAAGTTGGTCTCAAATTTACAAGGATGAAACCTCTAGTATGAATATGATATTTTATACTTGCTTTCCATGGGTGGGATGTTCCATCCCTAAGACCCTATCTGAT